GATTAGCATTTACACAGGAAACAGATAGAAGGCCGTGTCCTTAAAAAGCTGTGATGATCTCGATACGTTCATCTTTTGACAGCTTTGTTATCCAATAAGCAAAGGGGCTTTCTGGTTGAGGGAAAAGCATTCAAAAGAAAAGTCCAGGCTTTCCGTTGGAGACGGTTTGCTTGCAAAGTCTTTGAAAAGACTGAAAAACAAGACAAAATCAATATCTGTCTCCGTTTCTGAAGCAACCCCTCCCTTAACTCCTCTATCTCTCTCCTCACGTGTTGTTGTCAAAACCTCTGAACATCTGCCCCAGTCGCTCTTTTCTCTCTTCCCCCACCCTCCGCAACACCTTCTTGAGAAATGACCCATTGCCACCATCCGGGCTAAATTGGACATGAAGGCATCTTTAGAACGGTGGCTGTTGTTGGAGATCATTTTCATCCGCTGACGTCATGACCGCCATCACGTCGACGTCAAGCCAGGCTGACGTCAGCTGCCAGCTCTGATCCGTGCAGCCGGGGTTGCTGAAATCCACCCACGCATCAAAAGCTGAGGTTAAAAGTTAGAGAAACAGTTTTAGATGTTTTTCATCCGTGTGCAGATGGGGAAATATTGAGTTCCCAAATGTAAACAGTAGTACACGCAATAAATAAAGATGAATCAGATCATAATTCCTAACTATCTTCTACTTTTTTTTTTAATTTAGGAAGTTGTACATTTGGGTGAAAAACTGCATAAACTTAAATTGTAAAAAAACACCAGAGAATTTAAATCAGGACCTTAGAAAGGGAGGAAAACATTTTCTGATCTCAACATATAAACAGACTATGATGAGCATGTAGTAACCAGCATCTTCATTTCTCAAGCTTCTTACTTTCAGTTTATAAAGGAAAAAAATTACGTTAGACCTGAGTGAAATTAGCCACAATTTACATATTCAAATCTTGGGTTTTAAATTATACATTTGAGGCTTTCTTAAGGGTTATTATAAGGGAAATAGTTATGTTTGAAAGTCAAGGTTTAGATGTAAAAAATTTCTCTGCAAGTTGCAGAGTGTAGTGTTTTATTTCCATGTTAATATTTGACCAATCTGCTGATTAGAACCAGTCCGACTCAGATGAATTGGTTTGTTTTCTGTAATCTGTCAGGATCTGAGGCAAAATCAGTGATTTTTCAACATGATTGAAGTCAGGACTGTAGGTTAGGCTTTTCAGGAAGCATAATGTAGCCTGTTCAGTGCTGTCCTGTCAGAAAGTTTTCAGCATGTGACCCAAACTGTCACCATCAAAACAAAGAAAACAGGTTAAATTGACTATTTCAACAGTGCATTCATTATTCATTTCATAACCCATGGGGATTCTAACTTAACCTTAACATGAACTTTTTGTTGTCTAAGCTCGTGTTGTCATTGTACTAATAAGGTAGACATCTCAAAATGGCTTTCTTTAAGATGCCAGCTGAATGGGTGTTTATTTGGACTTCCCCATGGGAATCTTTCGACGCCATGTTGAATAACTTTTCAAAACACGGTTAAGGTCCGCCGTGCGCGCGCTACGCTACACAACGCACCACGTTAAACCGCCTGTTATTACCAACAGTTTTAAAAGGTTTCACAAAGTTGCAAACATGAGCTCTGGCTACCTGAAAGATGGTTTAAAGTCATAATGTATAATTTTAAAAAATGACTATCACTGTAAAACGAGTTTAAAATTATATGCGACATTTGTGTGTTTAGCTTTCGGAAACGTGCTTTTCGCAGATAATCGAATGCTAGCTTAAAGTCAAAGCGGTTTTAGCTATAAAAATATCGGGACACTTCATGTTCTCGGTATTTGAGCGTGTCCATTTGTGTTACGTCTTATATACTCTTTTAGGCCTTTACAATACAAATAAGTAAATGATTTTAAAAAATAAACGGTGACTCAGGGTGAATGGAATGGCGCTCTCAGATGATTTTGGCAGAGCAAAGTGAAACAGTCTGCGTCTCCGCGGCTCCTTCTGAGCCGCTACAGCTAATTGGTTCCTCTGAGATCCACCTACAGTCACTCACACACATAACTGGATGAGGATATCTTTGCATAAACCTGCACACAAAGGACGTCCCATCCATCTGTCGGGGACTCGTACATGCCGGCGTTCCTGCTCCCGCTGTCCCATCTCTAAACTCTAGAGGTTAAAGTTGGACCGACGCGCTGCTGTGTTTGGCCGGTGTCGCTGTGATTCTGAAAGCCCACGGTTCATCCTTGTGTGAACATCCACTTGTTTAATTGCCTCCAACTCGCTGACAGTTCTTTCTGCATGAGGAATGAAGGAGTGCTTTTCCACAGCGGGTGATCTCCATCACATATATAAATGCCTCGCAGCACTTTTCACAACATGGCGGCCACGCTGAGTCGTTCACTCACGGCCTGATTAAAATCACCGCGTCACATGCGTACTGTATTTTGTCGTAGCAAATCCATTACAAAAAAAAAAGGCAGCGAAGACAGGAAATTGCAGATGGAGTTAAAAGTGTAGCACTGCTGACATCAAGTTGTGAAGTGGCAAAATTGCAACCAACTGAAATAGGAGGTCTGGCAACCGCCGTCTGCTTTTATTTGAAGTAATTTAAAATAGTTTGTTGGGGGGCAGATATGCTATATGCATTGTTGGTCAATTATAACTTTGAACCAGAATGCATTTTTGGATGGGATTTCCACACCAGTAAAAGGAGGAGACTCCGCAAAGCAGATGTTGCTAAATTCACAAATAACCTGAATTAAGTAAAAAGTAACTTGCAGGTTTTGTGCAGGAGACGCAGTAATTACTAGAGTCAGCTGGCCCAACCAGCCAAACAACAACTCATGCTGAAAATGTCAGAGGTCATGGAGAGGCAGGAAGAGCCTCCATTTATACCCACAGCACCCATAACTGGATGCAGCAGGTGTGCTCAGTCATTTAGATCAGGCTTCGTTCATCCTGCTACATGATTTGTGTAAATAGCTCTTTGCATCAATGTTGAAAGTACGCAAAAGAAAGAAAAGGCAACGGGCATTTCAGTAACAATGGCTAATATATTGGGGAAGACTCGATCACAATGTGTAATTGAAGCATTTATACAGTATTTAAAGGACAGATGAGAGAACTGAATATATTTATTTTATTAAATAAGGGTATTGAAGACAGGGTGAGTAAACCTTGTGGTTACACCTCAGTCCAGTTGGTGGCGGTAATGCACAAAGATTATAAACTGCCAATACATTCTATAGAAGAACAAGAAACTAAATTTGATGGTTAAAAAGCCTAAAACAACAATCTTTGTTGTTGAGTCCTTGTCTATTTATTCAATAGTTTAGTAGTGTGAAGGGTTTATGAAATAAAAAATATGGCATATTTAATTACAGACCCTGTAATTAACTTGATTAAGAATTTTAATCAAGTTGCCACTAATTTTGTAGTATCAAGTGTTTGTCTACAGCACAATGTCCTTTAATAATGATTTCTTTAATAAAGGTGAAATGTAAACACAAATGTCTATTTCACGTTTGCTAAGGAAAAGTATTTTTCATATGTTTGACGTGTATCAAAACAAAACAAGTATTGTATTTGTGTACAAATAGCACACTTGTAGGATGAAATGATTGTATCATAATTCAGAAAGACTGTCCTATTTGTTTATAATTTCTTTAAAATCCTAACAGCTGATTCAAAATGCTACAATCACAGTTCCCTTAAGTAGGTAGATGACAGACATCAGCATTCATTGATGGCAGAAAGAGGGAATCACTAAATGCTTTATTTTGCGTCTTCCACTAGGGGGAGACAGCAGCACAACACAAGATTCACTAGTGAGTTTTTCATAGTGAAGTGTGATGCAAAGTGCAGTGAAACTTAGATTAAGCGATGTTTTCTCAAACACGTCATTTTTTTACATGGTCATTGCGATGATTGTCCTGCTGCTTTAGTTGTTTTTGTTTTCTAAAAGTAAATAGTTTAAGAATTCTTGAAAACTGATGCCTTGTTTTGTTTTACACAATACAGTGCTGTAGAATAGGTATTGATGTGCCTTTCGCTTTCCCACATTTAGTCACGTTACAGCCACAAACCTCAATCCGTTTGACAATTTATCTGGAAGATCAGCACAAAGCTGTGTGTTCAGGGTGAAGGCGAAAGCTACATCTTTGTTTCCACTAAAAAATGGACAAATTTTCCACTTGAGCCGTGGATCTCTGCAGCTCCTCCAGATTTAACTTCGGCCTCTCGCCTACACAATACAGGCATGCTCTGTATGAAATTAAAGACACAACTCCAGCAGTTGTTCACTGTTGATACAGGTTGAATGCTGGAAGTCAATGTCAATAACATCTGCTGGGTTTCCTTAGAAGTTTTTAATTTGGATAATTAAGTTCATATACTGTTTGATAACTAACATCAAGTGGGATGTATGTGTGATTGAAGTGAAGTATTTGTTAAGTGTCAACATGATGTTGTGAATTGGCACCATGCAAATATACAGAATTGATTTAAATTATACATATGGTCCAATTACCAGTAAAGGGACATTTAAAGGTTTTTTTTTAAAGGGCATCACCATCTAATACAGAGGCAGATACGATTTTTTATTATTATTTTCTTACTTCACATGACAAAACATAGTAAATCACTGAGAATTGTGGTTGAAAAATAACATGAAGAAGTTGCTGTGAATACTTTTGGGAGGTACTGAATGTAGATTGTGATATTTCCGTATCGTCAATCATTGCTTCAACAAAGGTCAGGACAGAAACCCATTTTAACTGCTCCACTAACCTCTGTGGTGCATTTCTGGAGGTCGGGGTAAAGCAAACAATGTTATTACCCAAAATTAGGATGGAGGTGTGCACTATACCCTCCGCCCCCTCACTGAAACCAGGGACTGTCCAAACCAGTTTGAGCAAACACAGGGAGTGTTTTTCCTGCCTCAAGCAGGTTTAGTCAGTCATTGTGTTTTGGTTTTGTTCAGGAAAGGAGGAACTGATCACCTCAGGCAGACATAACTCGAGCCGCTTAGGAGAAAAGACAGAAACCAGATTTAAAGTCAAAGAAATACAACTTTATTTAGGCGTAAACAAAAAACCAAAAAGAGAAAATAACCAAAAGAACTGCATAGGAAATGTTTAAAGTCCACAGAGTACAGAGAGAGAGCGGTAAGGCGGCCATTATAATATAGTCTCCTGTGCGTTACCTAGACTCAAGGCCTGGCTTCTGTCCCAATCTCTGTGTGTGAGTGTGTATGCGTGTGTGGTGAGAGGTTAAACTGGAACACACACAGAGCGGCCTTTGGATCAGCAAGAATCAGCCTTGGTCGTCTAAATTCAGCTGGCCACACCGACTCGCCCTGCCTCTTGGACTGAGAGAAGATACATTCAGTGGATTTCTGCTTAGATATTGCAGATGCAGCGCACAAACACGGAGCTCTCTCCGCACCCGAGCAGGCTCTGGGAGAGCAGGACATGAGGGGGGAAAAATTATTATAAAAAGAAAACTGTCTGGGCAGCGCATTTTGGCTGATGTCGGAGCTCGTTTAGAAACAAACACGACTATTTGTTTCGCAACACCAGACGGCCCCTTCGTCTCCGTCCTGTAGCTCTCCCAGAGGCCCGGCGCAGGCAGAGAGCGTCAACAAGAACCCATTTATCCCTTTTCTTCACAAAATACATTCTAAAAGGGCCTACGAGTCGAGTGGTGTGAAGCATTTGTACTTTTTGTCAGAGAAAAGAAAGGTGACAAGGAAAAAAAAAACATCAATAATCAGAGGAAACTAATCAAACTAATAATTTTTTTGAGCAGATTGAGAAATAATTTCTTTCATAATGTTTAAATGGACACGCAAAACAAAAAATTAGACTAGTTCATAAGAGGGAAGAAGTCACTACATTATCACTACGGGACTTTTTTTTTTTTTTTTTTTTTAATGAGACACCTGCAGCAAGAGGCTGCTGGGAACAACCTGAGTTTTGTTTTTATTAATTTTTTTCCTGTCTACATTTTTCCTAAACCATTTTTCCCCCCATTCTTTTTTTTTCTAGATTATACAATCATTTAAAACAAAAAGGGAGGTCTATGACCTTGCATGTTTCGTCTGGTGCAGCTTTGCGATTCTTCTTTCCCTGGAGACATTTTAAGAGGCCAGAGAGGAATTAAAAAAAAATTATAAATTTGCAGCCCTTGCATTCAAAATTGAGCGCAGTTCATTACAGCTCCTGCTGGGGGTGCAATCAACTGACCACGTTTGTTTAGGAAGGGGAGATGAATGCTGGTTTTTGTTGGGGACACTTAGCTGGAATTAAAAAGGGGAGATATGTTATTCATTTTGGAAATTTTTACTGCCTTTTTAAATGAATTATAGGCTGTTTGACCCCAAATGAATGTAAAGAATGTAAGGATCAAAAACTCTCGAGCCTCTCGGGGACAGGAGCGTCGCTAGCTGAACAGGTTGCGCACTGCAGAGCCTCAAACCAACAGGAAATACAATCGCAAAGGTCAAAAGTTAATTCCAACCAACAAGCTTTTTAAACACACATATACACATCTTTGGGTATACATTTTGTTTGGAAAAACTAAAACAAAACAAAACAAAAAAATCCCAACAATCAGCTACCCACCCTATCTGAGCCTTTCAACACCTATCTGGGAGACATCAGAATAATACAAGAACTTTTAAAGCATGCAATGAAACGAAATACAAACAAAGGTTAAAATACATTTTTCCTCTTTAAGAGTGAAGACCTAAGGATCTTAAAGATAGAATTCTGCAATCTTAATTTAAAAAAAATTGTAAGAAAAAAAAACCTGATGCAACATTGTGTGAACATCTCAGAGTAATACTGAAAAGCAAAAAAAGAAAAAAAAATCTCATTGGTTGATGATGGGTGTTGTGTTCAAAGCAGCAGTATTTTTGCAGACTCAGGCTGGCTCATCCTCCTGCCTGATTTAAACACTTTAGTGTCAACATGTCTGTGAAAATGCAGTGACAAGGCGTGGGCTTGTTGAGGTTAATACACAGAGGTTCATATTTTCTGGTATACCATGAAAATATGATACATTTTCATGGTATACCAGAAAATATACCATGAAATATTTTTGTTGACTCTATATGGTATACCAGCTGCTTGACAGACTGCTGGGCCGCAGTCTGTCAAGCAGCAGACTGCGGCCCAGCTAATGGAGCAGATAGCCTGACCAATTAAACCTCTCATTGCCGTTTGTTGTGTTACCAAGTTAATGTAACATAAAAGTGATTTTTAAATGTATAAATGTGTTTTGCTGCTTAATCCAAAAAAAAAAAAAAGAAAAAAGATTGATAACACTACGTACATGTTCTTTCTCATTTTGGGTAAATATCTTAATACTATGGTATTTGTACTCAAGACAATCATAGTATGCCTAGTGATGACTAGTAAGTAGTCATCACAGTAGTGAGTAGTCATCACTACTGCCTCAAAGCCCAGTTAACTTCAAGGAGTTAGCCTATTAGCAATCTTTGGAATAAAATCAAAAATATCCCTTTAAATGATGAGCCAGCCTGCTGTCACACATTAGGAGTAATCCGACGGGATGAATTCGAGATTACAGACTCATTTCAACCAACATCAAGCATCCTACAAATCCACACTGATAAGATTGGTAAATTGTGCTGAAATCTGAGGTAATTCATGTGCGTTTAATGGCCGACACTTTTGAGCAGTTAATTCTTTAAGACTGGTTTTTTCCTCTTAACCCCGTGTCCCTCGGCAACACAGAGACATCTTCCACATGGAAACCTGTATGTTCAACGTCAGTGTGAGGTAAAGGTAAATGGGGCCCAAGGTTAGGGTTAGCCCACTGCATCCAAACCAGAGGAGGAGGATTTATCCTCAGTTGTTCTGATTTTAAACCTTTTGATATAATGGTCCAGTGACACTTCCTCTACAACATCGCAATCCAAATGCCAATCCTGTTTTGGCACAGAACTCTCACAGGTTGTTTTTGGCACAATGCTCGCATCGGAACGATTCGTTTTATTGCTGATAAAAAAAAAGGAAAGAAAAAAAGGCAATAATTTAACCAGGCAGGTTACAGTAGATCAGGCAGACACAAAAGCTGTTTTTATACAAATTCTGTTTCAACGCTAAACAGTACAATGATCTTTGGTCCTTGTGCTGAACGGTCAAACAAGGAGGTATTGGTGAGGTAAAACAAAATCCTTCAAGAAAGAGTAAAAACTGAGGTATTCAGAAGGAATAATAAATTGAGGTATTCAAAAGTTTTAAATGCACCGTAACCATGAGGAACAAAACTTGAGGTAATTGGAAAGTTGAGGTATACGAGAAACGATGTGAGAACGTTGAGGTAAAAGTTATCCGACACTAAATCTCCCAAGCTGTGCCGACAAATCGTCAATTCAGAAGCGAGAGTCAGTCTGAGGAGGTATTTGTTTTTTTTGTTTCAACGAGAAACTAGCTTACAGAACCTGATATTGTTGAGTGCTTCCAGGGAAACAAAAACCAACGGGCGAAGGGATTGGTTGCACCTTAAAGAAACTGTATCGATCTGTAGGGACTGGGGTTAGTTAGTAGAAAGAAGACTAATCGGAGGTGGTACTCTGAGTCTAATCGTGATAAAACTATGGCATTGCTGAATGAGCTTAGGCAATAAACATAAGAGTTTCTCTTTGGTGCGGGGTATTCTCCGTTTTGAGCACCTCTGTGAGACAGAAACTTTCTACACTTGCTCCCAAAGCCAGAGCCTTCGGGAGAGGAAGTACTCGGTAACCTAGGACCGAAGCACTCCGTTTCTCCAAAGCCTAACGTAAGACAGTGCGATGAACTAAACTCCACGAGTTGTAAGAACGTTAGACTTTTCAAACAAGTTATTTAAAGAAAAGTTTTAAGGGGGATTTTAAGATCCGTTAAACGCCACATTTATAGCTGGCCTTTGTGCAGAGATTCTAACTTTGGTTGACTCTAGTAGTTGGTCTGTAGACCTCCATCTTTAGAGGAATCCGTCTACTAACGCGCAATCTGAAGGCGTTCTTTTTGTTTGACTTAGATCTAAGGATAAATAAATAGGGTCGGGCTTTGTGATGATGCCCTCTCATTGGACTGCACTAGATCTTTGGCCCTCGGAGCCAAAGGCCGTGGCTTTAAACCACAATCTAAATCCAAGAGATTGATATATTATCTTAGGCTTGTAATCTGTTGTCATTAATGTCCTCAGGACGGCCATAGCAGGCGTCTACTTCTGAAGGCTTTTTGTCAAACAGCATGCCTCATTTAAAAAGTAGCTTTCACTTCTATAATTACATTTCTATGATAACACGAAGGAACACGTTGAGATCTCTATGGATTCAACTCTTAAATCATTCTGTGGGTCTTCCCGTTCGGAGGAGACCATGCTTTTTTTGCATATTCGTTTTTCTTTCTTCGGCGGAAACGCGACATTGTCCCAGTCTTGTGATATAAGTTTAGGGATCATGATCGAAAGATATCTCATTTCAGGGATCATTTTAGAGCTGATTTTCATACATCTTTTTTCTATTTCTACTCATTAAGAAATTTATTAAATCAGCATTAGTCAGTAAAGCTAGGAGAGCCTGAAAAAAGAACCGATCGTTCGGACCAGTTCTTACGATGACCTGAGCTAATTTTGATTCCATTGAGTTTGGCATTGCTTCTCACAGTCTTGCTCGGCATTCGTGAAATTACAAACTCCACTAAGCTAAATAGAGAAAAGGGTCAATCTACTTGTCTAAGAGGGGAGGGGGGGAACACCTAAATAGTCTAAAAACAAGGAAGGACACTACTTGACCCTTGTCTTCTTCTCTGAGCCGAGCCTACTGATGAGAATCAACCACGAACCCTCTACAGCGGTCTGAGTATTGTCTCAGCAACAACATTCAGGAGGTTCACGCTTACTCATACTGAAAATGCACAGAGAGAATTCAATGAATCCTGTGCAAATATCAACCCAAGAATCTACTTTTATGTCTCTTAAATAAAGTATAGAGGTAGACGTTTCTTCTTTGTAAAACTTCACGGACTAAAACCTCTGCTCAGTCAGTATGAGTACATTCATAAAGAGCTAAATGAGGTAGGTATGGAGCAGAAGGTACTAGATTTCAAGAAGTGAAAGAATTCCCTGAGATGGATCTTAAAGCGGGGCGCACAGAGAGGACTGAGAACAGCTATGAGTCCATTTGGATAGGTCCCCATTGTATAAAGTAGACACTTGTTTGGGTGAGTAGTAGTGAACGTGAAAAATGTCTTTAGCCTAATCTCAGTCCTCTCTGCACGGCCCCGCCTTTCTGTTGATTGATTCTCTCCTCTCCATTTCCTTCATTGTGGAAAGTTACTGCAAAAAGAGCAAACAGAGGGAGAGAAAAAAAAAAAAAAAAAAAAAAAGATTTTTTTCTTTTAGAACTTGAGAATGCGGTTGTTACCAAAGTCAACGACCACGATTATTCCGTCGGGCATCACGGCCACCCCGGAGGGGCGGTCCATCTGTCCGTAGCCACTCCCCTGAGAGCCAAAATTGCATAAAAAGCTTCCGCTGGCCTCGAACACTTGGATCCTGTGGTTGCGGGAGTCGGCCACGATGATGCGGTTCTCTTGGTCCACGGCGACGCCCTGGGGGCGCAGAAACTGCCCGTCCTTTGTGCCCTCAGAGCCCAAGAAGCGAGCCGCCTGGCAGTCCGGCCGGATGACCAGGAGCCGGTGGTTGTTGAAGTCGGTCACGACGAGGTGGTCTTCGTGGTTAAAGGCGACCCCTCTGGGGGAGTCAAAGTGTTTCCACAGAGTCCCTTCGAAGCCGTACTTGTTGAGGAAGGAACCATCGGGGGCAAAGAGCTGCACGCGGTGGTTTCTGGTGTCCGAGACCAAGATTTTACCCTCAGAGTTGACGGCCACGTCCCAGGGATAGTTGAACTGCCCGTTCTTGGTGCCCTTTTCCCCAAACTTCAGGAGGAACTGGCCCTCAAACGTAAACACCTGTCGGGCAGAGATCATGAATTAAATCTATGTGGGTTTACATGTAGAGAGGAGGAAGCACTGCAGTTCCCTGTACAGCCATAAACTTGATGGAATGTGAAAGACTAACGCAAAGTGTAAAGACGACAAGGTTCAGGGGATACAAAATGGCTGACCAAACATTTCTGGTCCTGCATGGAAATGGAAAAGGTTACAGAAGTTTTTGGCGAACCCGGCCAACGTACCTGCACACGGTGATTGTCCTTATCGGCCACAATGATCCGTCTCTGACTGTCACAGGCAACCCCGGCTGGACGATCAAACTGACCAGGCCGAGAACCCAAGGACCCAAACTTATGGTGGAAGGCACCGCAAGGCTTGAAGATCTGTTGACAGAAACTCTTCTTTACCGATTGGCTTTCAACAAGCTGACACTAGGGTTTTTAAAAGACAACCAGTTGAAACCAGTTGACCTGGAATCTACTAGACAAAGTTCAAGAGTTACATCCTGGCTGGAGAGCCAAAGAAAATAGAAACTTTCTCAGCAAAATGCATCTCATGTTTAACAACGCTGAACTAGAGTTTAGATTAGATCAAAATCCAACCCAACCCCAGAGCGCAGGAATTGTGTCTGAGCCCGATCCAACTCGACTAATTAACTTTAATTATAGGCCCGAGCCCAAAGTAAACCAGACATAATGAGATTTTACTGCTTTCGGGTGGGGTTTTTTACGTAAGCACTGTAACATCTTCCATTTTTAGCCTTTGTTTAACGTCTTTCAGCTCCATCTTGTTATAACCGCAGGGTGAGTGAAGGGCAAATCTTCTGGGATGTGTGATTGATGAGATCAGATCTCCGCAGCTGTTTGCCTGGAGATGACGGAGCCGCTGCGCTTGATACAGTCTGATGAACTTCTGCACCTCACTTTCTGTCTTTCTCCAACAGATCTCTATTTAGACTTTAATAAGTAGATTAACACAACTTTACATCTTGGATTCTCGTTTGCCTTTTTTTTTGCTGAAAGTATTGCAGGTTTACGAAACGCATAACAGAAATCCGAGCCGGCTCAGGTCATAAATCTAACCTCTACACTGAAGCTGCCAAGCTCAAAAACATCAATGTAGCCTTGACGTGTTTAGTGTGACGGTAAAGAGAACAATCCAGCAGATGGCTCTACCTGTATGCGGTTGTTGCTGCGATCCGCCACCACAACATATCCTTCCCTGTCCACGCTGATGCCCCAGGGGCGACACAGCTGGCCGTCCCCCTCCCCCTCACATCCGAAAGACGACATCTGGGAGCCGAGGGACCTGTAGTTCCGTCTGGACTTGACCGTCACCTTGAAGGGGCTGCCCTGGACGTGCTGATGGCACACCAACACAGACACCAGGTGCTCCCCCTCCATTTTTGGCAGGAAGCAGACGGTGTAGGAGCCGTTCTGGCGATCCGTTACCTCCACCGCGGACAGAGAGCCGTCTGTGACAGACATCACCATGGCCGACACGGTGTCGCCGCCGGAGATGCACGGCTCGCCGTCGTGGTCGTATCCGATGACGGTGAAGGACGCAGGCTTCCCGCACAGTACGTTTTTCAGACCTTCGCCGTGGACTTTGGTGACGGGGGCAAAGGCGCTGCTGCTGATCAGGCCCATGGATTGGATGGCTATGTACAGAGCCTGGTTGAGCAAATTCACATATGAAAAGCAAGCAAACCGTGCCATGTGTGCAACTAGACTAATAAAGCTTGTGATTACTGCAGAGTGAGAGATCTAGTGTCAGTCCCAACCTGGTCTGGAGGCGTGAACATGATGCGGTCGTCGTCTTGCGGCTGCATCAGCCCCCTGAGAGTCTTGAGTTCATGGATCTGGGTCAGCATTCTCTCCCTGGCCAGCAGCACGTCCAGGTGGTGGCCCTCATCCAGCATCTGGCTCACAGCAGCAATGGTACTGTCCAGCTTGGTCAGACTCTGGTGGAGTTTCTCCACCTGCAGGTACAGAGTCTTGGCCTTCATCTGACGGATCTTGTCCACCTGGGAACAGAGGGCAGGGTTAGAGATGAGAGACCAGGAGGAAGATTTCAGCGACTGCCGTCACTGAGTGAATTTTGCTGTCAGAGTCAGCACAGCGTAAAGGTATGTTGAGACTCAAAGTGGTAAACAAAGACATTCTTAGACCAGATTCCTACAAATCTTCCTTTTCCAAATGGAGCAGAGCTTCATTTTGCTCCACAGCGCCCTCTAGCAGGCAGTTTGAATTACAGCTTTGAAACACAAGAAACTAAAGAGACTTTTAGATGCTTCCAGTGAATCAAACAGGATGCTTTGCCTTTTTAATTGTTTCTGCAAGTTTAAGACTTTTAAATTGAAAATTAAATCGGCTTTATTTACATAGCACATTTTAGCAACAAGCCAGTTCAAAGTTCTTTTTATGAAAAACACAAAGAAGTAAACAATAATAAAACAAAAATAAATATTACATTTTGTCAAATTCCACCAAAATCATCAAGCAAATATACAAATATATTTATCAATACTAAGTAAAGCAAACTCTAAACAGCTGGGTTTTTAGATTTAATGAACTCCGTTTCAACTGTTTTGCAGTTTTCTGGAAGTTTGTTTCAGATTAAAGGAGCATAAAAGAAAAGCTTCATATACAAGCTTATAAAGAGAAAATAAATGACTCAGAGAGCCAAAATATGACATTGAAGTTTATTTATCTTATTTATTCAGCCTCCCTGGAGAAAATAAAAATGCCCCAAAGAAAATCCAAAAATGCAGCTGTAACATTTAAATCCATGATGAAGAGAAACAATAGCAAAGGAAATGTAGTTTCATAGATTCTATCAAACAGCAACTATATTTAAGTTTATCTATGCTGCACCACAGGAAATCGCCAATGACTTGTTAAACATGCAAACAATAAATTTTACTATAATTTTTTTTAAAGTAAAATTAACTGCAGAGTAATACAAACATGGCTTTGTCATTACAAGCTGCTTCCAGCAGCGCAGGCCTGTAGGGGGCAGCAATGAGCAGAAGCCAAAGCTTTTGCAAAAGCAAATATTGATCCCCACAGTTATTGTGCAACTGTGTGCCAATATCAGATATTTTTAGATTTTCTTTTCTTACAGTTGAGCTTTAAGTGAAAAAAGGCTTTCTTTTTAAATATTGTCAATTAACAAGACTAAAATCCTTTTGTTTTGTGATTCTAATCAATTTTACAAGTTCTTCGAGATAAAAATCTACTTTTTGTTAAAAAGCTCCTGTAGGGATTTTGTTATGCATTATTTGTGTGAGAAAATAAAACAGGAAACAAACTTTTAAGTGTTACGTAGCACATCTTCAAAAAGGAAGGAAAAAGCTGCATTTCTGATTGTTTAGGAAGCCAGATTGGCTTCCAGTGAAGTCAGAGCATAAAGGCCTAAAGAGGGTGGAGGCTGGTAGAACCTGAGCCTCACGGTCCGGTCTCTCACTTAACATCCACTGACAAAAAAAAAAAAAAAAAAAAGTTCAACACAATAGACTGACTGGCTCTTTGTTTCTTTCTGTCCCCTCCCTTTCCAAAGAGGCCAAAAGATCTGAAACATCAATTTGCATCTGTGAGACTAGAGTTACATTTTATAGATAGTGAGGACAAAGCCTGGAGTTGGGCTTTGTGACAGATACGCAGCTAGTTGTAGTTCCTGGGCTGAAGAGCAGACGGAGGAGAAGAGAGAGCCGGTGTTGGTTTCAGAGAAACAAAGCACAGATGGAAAAGCCAGACACAGCTCTTGATATTCTGCCATGTTTTAAAGCACCACTTAAATGTTACAACTTCCCAGGTCAGCAAATGTCTCTTCTACACACTTCCAGATGAAAACACAGTCACATAAAGTATATTGAGTTCTGTCTGTAGGAAAGTTTCTACTGCAGGCTCACAGTCAGGATTTATGTCAAGTTAATGCTGATTCACAGAGAGAAATATCAGTCAATTTGACACCAAGCATGACAATCACAGAAACTGCTAAAATTGGCAAACGGTTTTGTTAAGGCGATTCCAAAAAAGGAACCACGCAGGATCTGCAAATGGAGTCCAATGTTGCCGGAAATGATGGGGAAAGAACTGGATAAAGTCACGCCTGTGGGATGAACCAAAGGTCTGGTTTGAAAACCTCTGGAGGAAAAGTTTACGGTCTCTTTACTGAGATGTTACACAAAGCACCAGAGTTTTCTCAAGCTGTATGAAGCACTGAGTGAATGTATTGCCCCTCCCCAACCTGCTGCTACATACTTCCTATCATCTGGCTAAAACACTTTGTCTAATCTTACAAGAAATCAAAAGTTGGCCGTTTGGAAATATTTTTGACATGAAAAACGCCCATCGCGCTGCCAACCCGTCACTAATATGAGCTTGCTAAAGAAATTTTACACCCCATGTTTAAGAAACTGCTACTAAATTGGCTAAAATATCAATTAAAATGTCATTCTCAGCAGTTACAAAAATAAAAATATGTGAGCAATACCAGAACTGTAGAGATTTTCTCACTTTTAAAACAGTAGAAATAAATATTAGCCTTCTAGATTAAATATGCTTTTGTTAAGAATTATGCAAACTTGTTTTTACTTAAGGTCATCAAACTGTAAGAATCTCATTGTGAATAAATAATGGTTAAAAGTCTGCTCAGTTGTAGCTGAATTCTGCTGTTTAAACACCAAATCAATCCACTTTGGTTCTATTGAACGCCTGACAGAAATCTATATTGGTAGGAAACTGGATTATAATGACATCACCTGGTCATGGATGAATGGGTTAATCTTATAGTGTGGTAAGTGGGATTAAAGAGGAAACAGAGTCATTTAAAATTATCCCCGAGAACCCACAGCTCTCTCTCTCATGGAGGGGCGTGAAGGTAAAACGATGCAACGTCACAGTTCAGAACTGAATGACTGGTTTCCTTAATATTAACAAAAATCATTTTTAAAATTACTACTGCATAATCAGCCATGTTGGCAGAATATTTTTAAGAACTTTGACATTGCATGAGGTTGTAGAAGTTGAAAAAGGAAAGGTGAATATAATTGTAGATGTTTTTCTTTCACAATCATTACAGTGAGATCTCTTTAGTAATCACCCAACCTGAAACGGCTGGACAGACACAGTGGAGGAAATTTGAAATTCAAACATGAAGAGATTTACATACATCCTAAAACAATCAAAGAAGAACTGATCAGGTTATTGTAGCAACATTTCCTTTATAACATTAAGGCTTGTAGTTCTTCTAATCATAAACCAAATAAAGTCCCAGAATAACCAGATTTTTCCAGCTGAATGAGGCAAGAAAACCAAACCTCCCCTACAAGTTGCTGAGCACTGCCAGTCAGCTAGATGAAAGAGCGCCATTACACTGACTCAGAAAAAGAAACTATTCCAGTCATAAAATGTAGTGGAAAATAAGATAAATGAACAGCTTATTAGACTTGTGATTGAAAGCATTTTGAAAACAATCCTTCTGAACAATAATCACTTGGACATGATCAACACTGTAAGAATCTCATAGTGAAAACTCGTATTCTGCCTGCTGCCTTTAGGCCTTTTGTTTAACTTGGAACTGTTGCATCTAGGGCTGTAGTGATACAATAATCTCACAATACACAATATTCTGCTCACGATATGATATATGTACATAGATATATATATATAGCGATATTCAGCAAACGATACAATTCAATACACTTTTACGATTTTCTGAAAGATTTTATAGGGACAGAATGATTTTGGTGACATTTTGTGACTGTTATAGAGTTGGACTGAATTAATTTAACTGAAAACTGATTAAAAACACCAACTACACAATACCTGGCTCTGGTTGGACATGGACACAGACTTAAAAGTCAACAGCTGGACAAAATGAATCAAAGTGGTGCGAAAACATGCTTCTTTTAATTAAAACAGTACAAACTGTAGCTTACATGAATTTCTTTTTTTTTTTAAAGGTTTTATCAGCTCTAGTGGCCTTTATTTGATAGTTAGTTGACAGGAAAGTGGGTAATGAGAGAAGGGAAAAGACATGCGGCAAAGGTTGCCAGGCTGGGAATCGAACCCGCAACAGCCACGTTGAGGACTGAGGCCTCCATATGTGGACTGTGATTAACCCCTGCACCACCACAGCACACTGCTTACATGCATTTCTAAAGTAAATAAAGTGCACCAAGTACCCTGCTCTCAATAGTTTGATACTTTTTTAACCTTGACACTTAACATCTGAAGGAATCACTCTAAGCCTGATGACCTATTCACTTTCCCAGTGAAGCAAGCAGTGGGTGTGCAAGGTGACAGTTGGGTGTTACGATACTTGCTGATGAATATCGATTTTTTTTCTTTCTAGGAAAGAAAATATCGATATACATCACAAAATCGATATTATTACACAGCCCTAGTTGTATCTTTGTTATAGCAGGTTGTTGTGAGGCGCAGAGCCTAAACCAGGATATGATCAGGTTTTTCATCTGATGCAACAGGAGCAGCAGCGGTCAGAGCTGAACAAGCAGCCGTGTGAAACGCAGAGGAAACATGGCTGCCGCCGCTGCAGCGTTGGACACTACGGCCTCTGTGTCATCACAGGCTAAAAGGAGAGGCTGACATGAGGGGGGGCTTCACCTCCGTGTCATCGTGACAGTCTGCCTTGTTAAGTCAAATTACATCCTAAACAATAAGAATATGTTTAAAAGCTGCAGATAAATTTCTTTAGAAATGGGAAATGTGCCGATACTGGATTGTAATGTAAAATAAAATGAGATAATTCCATTGTTTCATGTGGTTTGTTGAAAAACTTCTTACATTTTTAAAAAAAGATACAATCACAATTTAGTAAATACATTTTTTTTAAATTAACTAATGTTATTTTACTGCCGTTGTCAAAAATTACCAGTAAAATCCTGCATGTTAAAGTCAAAATGCATGTAAGAAAATCCAGTCAATATAAAACAGGACAAGAAAAAAAATCTTTGACTATTTTATATTTATAGAAAAGTCCTATATTACTAAGTTTTTCTTCTAAACTAATTCAAAATACACTGTTGGATCATAGTTCTTTCATGATAGCTACACAGAAAACAAGAGGCAACGTCTCACTGTGTGGGTTACAGAAGTCATACATCACCTCAAAACTAAAAAAGTGATTACAGAATTACTTTTGTATGCTCTTAGCATCATATATTAGCAGTTAGCATGCTATGCTTAGCACAGGGCATTTCCCTAAAACCAACCAACATTTTTTTTTTCTTTTTCCTAATCCAGCCGACATGTTCCATAACAAATCTGGAGCTTTTAAAAATGATTATGAGAAACTTCTCCTGGTAACAGCCAATGAAAACTGTGTCCTTCCTAGAAGATCCTTAGAGGCTTTAAAGCCGACACCTTCCTCCCTCCTCTAGTCGTCTTCATCAGGATCTACTTACACACTGAAACGGCGTTCGTTAAACCTGGTAATGGTTGAATTTACCAATACAGAGTTTCCTCTCCATGTAACTGATTGTGACGTATTGCTACAGCAAAATATACACGTTAAAATAACGCAAAGCAAATCAGAGCTTGAAATAACTTTAAATTTTATTTTAAAAAGCTGCACTGCTCTGCTCTCAGGGGTGAAGAAAAACTAAAGAGTCTGAAGTAAAGGGAGAGAAAAAGCAAAAGTTACATAAGGTTAGGTTGAATGTATTTTTAGTTCCAACCTGTGAAAACGACAGTAATGTCATCGCATGTTGCATTTTATTGATGGCAAAGTAGTTAATAAAAAAATAAAAAATGTACAAAAAATAATTTTAAAAAGTTTTAAAAAATTAAGCAAATATCGTTCTGGACAAATTGAACCTGAACAAAGGCATCATTCAACTCTCAAAAACGTGTAATTTTCAGCAGACCTGCTGACCGGCTGGTCGCTGCTCAGCTGAACGCCTCACGCTTTGTTTTTTTTAAACAACCATTAACGTGTAAAATTTGCAAAATTGAGCCAGAGTCTCCCTCCTGGTTTTGAAACTCTTCGATAAAAACTTGCCGCGATCTCGTGTATTTGCAGATCTGAGCTGGACTAAAAGCCTAGAAGCATTTGAGCGTGAAGAACATTCACCTCAGTGCAAACTGGACAGATTGGGGGAATTTAAGGAGCCAAAAAGCCACTTCAAAAGAGGAAAAACAGAGAACATATGGCTTATTCCTGACATGAGGCAGAAGGCTATGAACTGTTTCAATAAGATCCCCTCCTGCCGTGTGGAAGAAGCCTCCCGACGCTGCAGCTCGGCCCAGACCTCCCCCTCCCCGTCTCCATCACCATCACATTCGATTAGCTGCAGCCCCTCCTGAAGCTACCCATATGGTCATCCTTAACAATGAAATTTCACACACAAAGCTGACTCATTTAGCCAACCACCCCCCCAACCCACAGGAAGAAATTTATACATTTAACGAGATCATTTCCTGTTTCACCACCACACAGGCTCTCCTTCAGCCCATTTGGAGAAAAGAGAGAGAAATCATGAAGATTTAAGGTGGGGAGGAGTCGATGCAACTTTCACTCAGGAGGCGATGCAAAGGAGGTCCTCTTAAAAACATGGAGCCAATAAATAAATGTTAAACATGTAATATTAAAGATTTATATCAGTTAATCTTGTTGCGGATTGTTCCTCACAGCTTTTAGTGTCGACACATTTCATGTAGGAGTTTTCCACGATTTAAGATTTAACGTCTCTGGGGTTTCCAGTAAAGGTAAAAAATGTTCACTGTTAATGTAAACGTAAATATTTTTCTACAGTTCTTATTCAACCAGAGAGATAGCTGGTTTTCAGTTAATAAAAACTAACAAAACATTTTTACTGAAATAAAAACGTAACGGGGGGAAAAACTAAAACTACCTGCAACTAAATTGTGTGTTTATAAAAACTAACTTATTGAAATTATAGATATAATATCCTCTGTTTTTGTGTTTATGAATCTACTTATTAAACTTTTCTGAAATTGATTTTATCCCCACACAAGCCGTTTACGCCAGCTGTAGGAAAAATATGGAACTCCATAATCCTGGCGGCGCCAACGTTAGTTTGCAAAACTTCAATTGTTGTTTAATAATAAAATAATAACAAAAAACTGTCCAAAACTGCCATCTTCTGTTGATTATATATCACACAATCTATGGACATAATCGCAATACAATATTTTGACTTTTTTGAATTCTGAACCTAACAATTAACCAAAGTATGAAAAAACAAACTACTACTATTAAAAACTATTAAAACTAAAACTAAATATTTAACTAATAAAGACCAGATTTTAAAATCTAATTATAGCTAAATGAATGAAAACAAGTCACAACGAAATAAAACTAAACTCTAATAAAAAAAACTCTAAGCTATTCCAACCCTGAGGTGGATGAATGATTAGCATGTTAGCATTGTGTATTTGAGTTTCACTAGCAGCATCTGCCCTCCATCATCATTTAGATGGATAAAAAGTAACGAGTAATGTGTCTTTTTCTATCTTAAGCTGCTTAGAATGCTCACTGGGCAAAACCAGTGACTAAATCGCTGGTTCTACCAAGTTGAAACTGGAACAGGATTAAGTTGGGCGAGGCTTTACTCCCAGATAAACGGCGGCTCACCTTCCACAGCAGCTCACACTCCCTCTCCTCCAGAGCTTTCTTGTGTCTCAGAACGAGAGCCTTCACTTCGGTCTGCACCACCTTGGCCTTGATCTCCACCTGCTCCGCCATGGCCTGGACCTTTTCCATGCTTTGCTGGAAAATAATAATAATAAAAAAAAGGAAAACAATTGAAAAATGCAGTGAAACAAACAAACAAACAAAAAAAGCCATTACAAGGCAGAGACTTGAAGGTATGTGAAAATAAAAAAGATGATCAATAAATTGAAACTGAGACACAGGAAATGCTTATTGGCTTATCTGTTATTTTACACAAAGTATAGATGACCTCCAAAAACAGGAAACGGAGCATCAGGAAACATTAATAGAAAAAAAAAAGAAAACATTTTCCTGGCAAGTGAATGGATGAACACCTGCTCTTTGTTTTGGCTTCATTCCTTCATAACAATCGCTGGTTGGAGGCAGAGAGAAAGGAAACATGGGTTAGGAATGGGAAGTCCCTTCACTCACGCATAAAATGATTTACATCCTGCTGTTTGGGAAAATGTCCACTCTTTCTAGAGTAGGAATTTTATTTCAGAAACATTATTAATAGAGGCAATGTTGTTTAACGTGAGCTGCACCACATGATGTAAAAACCTTAATGAAAATATCCAAAAGAGACATTAAAATGTTCCAACACGCAAGATTAAAGAGCAAAAAACATAAACAGAAAAATATGAATTATAAAAATAAAAGAAGACATTTACTGCTGTAAAAATCCAAACGAGTTTTCAATGCCAAGAAAAAGAATTGTCTTTAAGCTAGCTGTTAGCTTTAGCCTCTATGACCAACTAATCTGGATTAGAGTGAGAACCGCAGAGAATTTGTCCTCCATGTAAGAAATGAACTGTTCAGAACAAAAACCTGAACATGAGTGCAAATGTCAAAAAATTATAAAGATAAAATAAATCTTTGTTTGAAACCTTTCAGAGTGTTAAGATGGAAAATAAACATTTCTTTGCTTCTCTTAAAAAACTGAATTTGATTTTTTCCCCCCAAAGTAAATAATTCATCTTTCTATCAATGGACATTTTTTTTTCTGTGCTTTTCATTTACAAGTCTATTTCAATGACGTGTTGGCGAAGAGTCAAGATAAAGAAGCGACTGAAATAAGATAAAAGGTCCACAAAGTTGCCTAAAAACACGGGACGGCAACATCTTGACTGCGGAGTGTTTTTCACAAGTGTCAGGAACGTCTGAAGAAGAAGAAGAGACGTTAGAAAGCCTGAGAAGAGCAAATCAAGAAGTAGCTCAAAATGTGATTTTCTCTATGATTAAATACTATTTCACCAGATTTTTAAAGATGCAATTTGTGTGAAATTAGGAATAAAACCTAACATTGCTTTTTGCTTTAATTGCAAAAGTGAACACACAATTTTAAACTTTACAGAATATTTTAATGAGGCAAGAATTTAAAAAGGAAATGATTTTATTGTACCAACCTGGATACTGTTTGGTCTTATTTTACAGGCCAACATTAAATAATCAAACTTTAAAAGAGAGGCGCCCCTTTTATTACCACCTGATGCAATTAAAAAAAAAAAAAAAAAGCCAGGCCGCAGCATTTACGACGCACAATTTGGCCTAAATGAGGAGTATTCTCTTTGTCTCCTTCTGCCCACTGAGTTTTATCAGGGCCTTTTTCCTCTGGCATCTCCTGGGAGGTCACGAGGTGAGCTGGACCTCACAGGCTCCGAGGGGAGGTGGGATAAGGCTTCCTTTGTCATATCTGCCACTGAGATCAAAGGTCACCTAAACCTCTACAGGTCGTGATCCGCAATCCCTGTCTTAAGACGCATACGGCCCACCCCCATCACACCCCGGCAGGAACAAAGGCGGCTCTTTCTTTTCTCTGGCCGTGTCACGCGAGATGGCCGGCAAAAGGAACAACTAAATCAGGCAGGAAAGGAATGAATTAACGGGGAGCTAATATCGCTTGGGACGGGAGTCGTTAGGAACATTTTTCAACTCTCTGCACCTCGACGGTTGTCTCTCTAGGTCTTTCCACCAACGGTCATTATTCATCACATTTTGTAACGTTACATACGCCTTAGCGCATTTTATTAGAATTTAATGCAAGTAAAACAGAGCATAGATGTTCAACGAAAGCTTTCCAAATTGTTTACGAATGAAATTTGAAAAGTGCGGCACGCATCGTTTCCTGCAGCATTTTCTCTCTTGCATTTATCCGATACTCCTTCCAGTCTTTGTGTCGCCATCAACGCTCCCAAAGGAGCACAGCTTGGCGTACAAAGAGCCGAACTAACCAATAAAAAAAACAAAAAAAAAACACAGCAGAAGCAGAGAGTTTTGACCAACTAGGAGGTCACAAGTCCCGGGTCAGAGGTCAGAGGAGATAATGGGTGTAGAGTGGACGGAAATTTCCTACCTCAGGGGACAGAAGCGTCTGCCAGTGTTTACATATTATCTGGCGTCAGCGTTTAGTCCCACAGTGACCTGGATAGAAGTGGACAAACACGCCGAGCGGCTCAAGGTGCTGCCGGTGCGTCTCCTGGCTCACATCCTGAAGCTTCATTTGGTAAAACACAACCTCACTGATGTGCTCACCATTTATTTTTCTTTCCAAATGGAGCCTAAATGTTAAGCGAGTTTTCCTACACGAGGCCTCAAACAGCCATGTTGTGATATCTGGGAATTTCAGAAGAATCCAACAAACACCCGCAATGACATAAGCACTCCGGCAGAAAGATACGAAGTCTGACCCGGCCAGACGAGGGGTCAGGCTGAGAAAATGGATAGGTGGGGCACATGCTCCGAGTGCTGGAGATAATGCATGTCCGAATGTCATATGACCTCAGTGGAAAAGCTCGAGTTTCATGTTTTGGGGCGAGTATTTACCAAGGTCACAACTCTGCCCCACCTTCCAGGCAAATTAGATAACGGCCGCGTTTCTGACCTGCCCTGATAACTTTGCAGGTTTCAAGCTGCTTTTCTGAGTCGTTCCTTTTCTCTGCTGTCAGAAATTGTTGATTTAAACTTTACATTTTGGACAAAGATTATAACACTATCTGCAAAGAGTAAATTGTCAAAATTATGTAGAGTTGAAGACGCGTCTGAATGTTAAGTTATGCAGAAAATTTCTATCAAGAATTTAAAAAAAAAAAAAAAAAAAAAACAGAAACTGGTGACTGGAACCAGACAGTTTTCTGCCCGTTGGAAGTTTTACAAAGCCTTTCTGGTCATGTCAGGCAGCTTATTCAGTTAATTACTCAGCAGGTTATTATTGGACTGGATGGTTAAAGTTTGAGGAAACAAAACAAACATTACATTTTATTCTTTTAACAAACCTGTGTGTATGGGAGAATGGAAACTCATCCAATTTTTCAGCCAACAATTCTAATATTCTAATTTGGTTGTGTTTGTCAACCTGGCTCCAGCAGCACATTCAAGCTGAGGCTAAAGCCGAGAGTCTCTCTCTAGCCGGTTCTGTTCTGGCCAAGTTGGGCGTTTCTCCATTGGCAGTGCGTTCCTAATCATGTGGGTGTGAACATGAGGGTACAGCAGCTGTAATCGACTCTCCAAAGTCAATTAGCTCAAGCCGACTTTGGCGTCAAGTCTCTTAGAAATCTCTCGGTATATTTGTTTGTTGCCGGTTGTCCCGTCCAGTTGACACCGTATGTGCTCTTACGCAGGTGCTGCCTTCGCTTCTCTTGTTCATGGACTAATCAACAAATCCAGTCTGCTGCCTATTAAATTGCTAGGTCTGGTTTGTACTGTGGCTCCAAAGAACAGGGAAGAATCGCACAGAAACCACAAATGGAGACAAATCTGTCATAGTTACGGTTTGAAAGGGTGATGCAGGAAGACCGTTCCTCTCCACCCCCAAATTCTGGAGGTAATTTCCGATAAAACGTCAAAAAGCAGTGGGTCAGGGTCATCAAAGTCTCATCTTATCTCTCTCCATTAAGATGGCCTCCAATGAGCCTCGTTTTTCCAGTGAAGGAGGTGCTACACCTCACAGTCACACTAAGTCCAACCATGAAGGAAATCGAAGGGTTAAACCAGGCATGTTCAAAAGCATCGTTACAAAACATCGATTAGTCTCCAATAAAAACTGACTACCCTATCTTTGTAATTTCATTTTAAATTCTCAGTTTTTCCTGCTCCCGTGAGTTGGGATTACTTAAAAATTCAATGTTTCATTTTATTCCTTTTGGTAAAAATTATTCTCATGTAGTGTAAATATGAACATTTCTAAATTTGAGATTAAAAAAAGTTTTCTACCACTATGTAGCAATTCTGCACAAAGCTCAAAATTGAATCAGTGTTAGTGGCAGATCTGAGCACCATCAGCCCTGGATAATACTCCTCCATGAACATATTATTATTATTTTCATATTATATTTTCATGAACATATTATTATTATATTGGTACATTAAAAAAAATCTGTTATATACCAGGAATGAAATTTAAAAAGTTACATTTTAGGAATTTAAGTTTTTCATACAAATTATAAACTTAAGTTCATATACAATATTTCTATTATTTCTATTGGAATATTTAAAAAATGTCATTGTGGCAAAGGGAGCACAAAGTGAATGGACCTTTCCAAAGGGAAAGTTTCAGATATTATTAGAATTCAGCCAATAGTTGAAAACAATTGTAATTACTTTGGTGACACATCCTGGTTTAATTGTGCATCTCCAATAAACATCAAACTGATTCCTGGTTTAAGCAATGAGACATGCTGCTAAAATATGTGGAAGAAACAATGGTTAGTTTAGCTGTATGTCTTAAATGTGAAGCACAATTACTAATCATGTTCAAAGATTATTTTATTATTCTTAAACATTGTATTAAGAAATCTCAGAAAGACACGCCAAAGAATTTTTTCTGGACATTTTAATTGATTGTAGTTTCAATGCTTTTCCCTCCCTAAGTATTTTCAGACTCTTGTTTCCTAATCACCTTTAAAAAAATGCTAGACTTCAACAGTTTTTTGATTTTCTAGCAGAAGCTATGACGTAAATGTCACCAGACGCAGATAAAAAGAAATGCATGTTATCACCTTAGAGTCAAACCCTTGGAGATAAACGGCTGGCGCCTTTAAACTCCAGCAGCCGTCAGCAGAGTGAAGAGCAGTGAGGAAATAGAGACTCCTGCTTTAGCTCAACACCTAAAACTGGAAACTTTCCCAAAAATATTCAGAAAAAACACAAGAAAATGCTGCTCTCCTTCTAAACAGAGCTGCTTCACATATATACATTTCATACTTCTGTCTCAACTAATGATAAAATGCTAAACATTTAGCCTGCTGGTACCAGACTCGACCCATTTGCAGTTCTTCAGTGAAAAGGAAAAACATGACCGCCCTCCACCCCCTTCTTATATGTTCAGATAAAACCAGAATGCAAAGAAAGTTCAAGAAGGTGCAACCTAAACTATAATCATGTAAATGAAGAGGCGTAATTAGTATGCGCATATGTGTGAGAGAGTTGGGTGGAGTGAGACGTGGGTGGGTGAAGGAGTGAAAAGGGGAAGGGCAAGTGTTCCACTTCTTTAAAAGAAGTGGGTATTTTTCCTTTCTCTGAAATCCTTTAAATACCTCACCTACCCTCCCCCAGCGCCCCCTATGAGTCTCCTCCCCGTCCTCCCCCTCTGACCCCGAGCCCTGCCCCCGCCGGAATTCAACTCATGCGACCCCACCCCCTTTTTAAGGGCCAGCTGGACACCTCTAACCCCGGGGCTCCCCGGCCGCCCAGTACTGGTCACTCGCTCAGATATGCAAGCTGAGCGGCTCTGATGTCCGCGCGCGCTAGCTGCTAGCCGCTAGCCGCTAGCTGCTGCGATTTTTAAAGGCACAGCTGCTCCCCTCAGGTCCTGCTTAGTGGTGGAGGAGATGGATGAGGGCAGCTCTGGGAGCTTTAATCTCGTATGGGAGACCTCTCCTTTGTTAGCAATCTGTTTGGCCTATTTTATTACAGTGCAGTGATTTTAGTGACGCCATTACTGCTATTAATTTGACTATGTTCTAAATAAATGCGCACACACTGATGCTCCCGTCTGGTGTCGCACACTGCTGATGTTTTTTTGATTTTTAGTTCATTTTAAACTGTAAATCTAAATTTTCACAGAAAATATTTCACATTTTCTGACTGAAGTCTGGGCAACATGGACTGAAAGTTTTATCACAATATTCTGTAGTAATGTTGTGATAATGACAAAAGTGAAAATGCACCATTTATTTCTTCTTTTTTTAGGTAACATGACTCAACGGCACAGCAGTCAAAGCCCCACAAACACAAATATTTCTCTTGAAAAAACGTCTACCAAGTATCTTCCGGACACCAATCACACTTCATAAAAATATGTCAAAGAAGTGGGATTTTTATCATTAACCTGGTCATAGTAACTGCATTTAATCAAGGTTTCAAATTTATTGGTATTTTTTGATACTTTCAATGGAAAAAAAATCAATAGAAAAAGTAACAGTTTGGTTTCTTTTTTAAACACCATGACTCGGAATTTATCAAGCAACGATGAATCAAAATTCTTATGATGAGGAATTTATCACGATAAATGATAACCGATACATCGTCTTGGAGTTTCCTTTGGGGCAACTAAGCATGAAACCACAGCAGTGAGGAAATGTCGTTCGTTTTCAGCTTTACACAAACAGAAACCATTCTAGCATTAAATGTTAAACAGTGGCAGTCAGGAAACCGTAGCATGTTGAGAGAAGACCCAACGCGCCCTCACCTGGACAGCCTGTCGCCCCTGCTGAGCGTCTGCCAGCAGCTGGATGGTGATGGCCCTGCAGTCCTGCACGGCGTCCTGCAGGTAGACGTAGGTGTGGCCAATGTGACGGCCCACGCTGCACTCCCTGCAGATCGGCACCGAGCAGGTTTCGCAGAAGAACAGGAACACCTGCACAAAAACCAACGCAGGAGGAATTAGTTTACTCTTTTGGAAAAGCGCAACCTGAAAGAGTCTGTGGGGAAACTTTTGGGCCCCAATCGGAAATGTTTGTGCAGCAGAATAACCTGCTAATTTTATTTAAAGATCACATGGGTTTTATCTACATCTGGTGGCTCTCGTTACATTCAAGTTACCTTTATGATTAACAGAAAAAAAAAAAAAGGCACTGAGAAACTACATTTAAAGTGGCAGAGTGTTATGACTGGCTAAGAATTATTTTTGATACGAAAATTAAGAACACAAGGAAAAAGAGTCATCAGAGAAATAAAAGGTTGTAATCAGAGAAAGTAATGTGAGAATAAAGAAGTCGTAATATTTGAGGCATCATAATACTCAAAATGTTGCAACACATCAAAAAAGTTGTAATACGAGACAAAAACCCATAACTGAATAAAGTAAAAATATGATAATGTTGTACAAGTCAAAATAATAGCATGAAGTCAAAATAATACTGGAATAAATTAAATTAACTGCATAAAGTTGCAAAAACAAGGAAAAAAAAGTTAAAACACGAGAATAAAGTCATATGACAAAGACAAACCAAAGTTATGATACAGGAATAAGGAAATTATTAACAGAATAAAGATGTAAAAATATTAGTGTAACTACTCAATACAAGTATTTGACCTACTTTCTGATATCAATCACGTTTTACTTGTAATATGAGAAGTAAAAGTATTCACATCATGGAGTCCTAATAATACGAGAAGTCATAAAACAATAAAGTCCACACAAAACCAGAATAAAGTTGTAATACTAGAATGCAGAAGTAATTTTACGAGAACTCCTCAGTGAACATTTTTAAATTGATTTTTTTTCTTGTTTCCCATACAGGCGCTCGTGTTTAAAATTCAGGTGTTTAATGATACAAAACGAACCGGCACCATGACAAACTAAACACCATGGTCCTCTTCCCTTCCACTTCCCCCACAAACACAAAGCTAATTAAAAAGAGAAGAGCCATGAATGCTAACACAAGTCATCCATATGCATGCGTTGCCAGGGAGCCTCACATCCTCCGCCGCCCCGCAGATCGTTTCTCATTCAAAACACAGCCGGAGGAGGAAAACGGGAACCAAAGCCAGATCAATATCCAACATATGATGGCGTAAAAGACTCCAATTGAGTTTTACAGGCAATTCCAAATAACATATTTATATAAATGTACATGTTTAATATTAAAACCATTTCCATGTGCACTTACAAACGTTTGATGTATCCCAGTTAACTTTTTAATGGTGACTGAGGTTTATTATTCATTATATCTTGAGCCAACAACAAAATGTCTTCGAACCGACTCCCTCCAGCAGTACCTGTGTGTGTGTGTGTGTGTGTGTGTGTGTGTGTGTGTGTGAGTGAAAACTACACACATCAACCATGTCTGCCTCTAATCACTTGTTGACATTGTCAGAGCTACCGTTTCAAAGCAAACACGATGGAGGAACTCTGAAATTAGACACATTGTCTGCTTCATTTTCAGCTAAATGCGTAGTTGTGAAAACATTTGGACGGATGAGTGATTGATTATCTCTGTGGCTGTGTGTGTGTGTTAATGGGCAGAGTTTATGCAGCCGACCGGATCAATTCTGCATCAGCTGGTTGTAATCATCTAAACGCAGCAGATTTCAATCAGACAGACATTTCTGGCTTTCCTCTCTCAAGTAAAGTGTTTTGCAGGAGCAGATTGTTTACACTGGGGCACAGACTCTGGGTTGAATTTTTGTTTATTTCTTATCAGGTTTTTTAAATTTATAAATTCATGAGCAACATGTTTGTTTTGTTTATTCTTGGCTGGAGTGGGCGCTTTTTACGTGCATTTCACATTAAAGCAGAAATCTGATTTTATATTGTTGTAACGTGCAAAACATGATTTTTTTTTATTTAAAAAAGCTTTTCAGAGAAAACATTTAACTAGATTATTCAATGTATCTAAAAATTAGTAGATTAATAAAAATCCCTGCCCTACTTCATGATGTCAAGTCAGACAATTTGATCAAGCTTTTTTTTTGTGACAATTTCATTGAGTCATTATCTTTCGATAAAAATAAAAATAAGCAGATTTTTTTTACGTCATGCGTTACATTATTTTATTACGTCAATAAATGCATTTTGTCGCAATAAGTTTCACTTTGTGGAATATAATCCCTTGATTTTGATGAAAATCAAACCGAAAAGAACGACTATGATTTGTATTCAGAAATTAGTCCATTAAATTCCAGAAAAACAATTTTTTTATACCCGTTTTAATTTTTCTACAAGGAAAAAAGCCGATTCGGTGCATTTTAAGAACCTTGTAAAGAGATTTTCTTTCAGAGTCGGAAAAGGTTTTATAATTAACTGGTCCCAGCTTAAAAACAAAACAAAAAGTCAGAATCCTTGCAGGGTTTTTACAGAGTAAACAAAATAAATAAATAAAAAAAGCACTTTTAAAAGGCTGACCAAAATTTCCCTGAGGAAACAAACGTGATTTAACCTTTGCTGTTAAAACCTAAGCCTTGCTATAAACCCCCCACTGCCTGAATCCGATTGGTTGTAATAGGAGGTTAATTAAATATGCACCATGCGTCATGTCCCAAAGAGACCCGGGATCAATGGCCTCCAATAGCAGCAGAGCGGAGAGGACGGAGAGGGGCCTGCAATCAATCCATCAATATTGGCGGTTCCCTTGGGGAGCGGTCTAATCTAATGAGTCACACACACAGAGACACACCTCCCCCTTTACTTCACTTCCTCCTCCTCCTCCTCTCTGCCTTCAGCTTAACCTCCTCTCTGGATCCTTTTCTTGCCGCCTCTACAGCCTCCGCCACAGTTTCTGCGCCGCCCCGTCACTCGGCTCGGCCTTCCCGACCAGGACCGGCCCGGTTCGGCCTGTCCCTCCCCCGCTGACATCTCCTGAATTCCAGAGGGAGACGGCGCACACACACACACACACACACACAAAAGGCTGGAATGCTGCTGGGTCGGGGTGGAGGAAGAGAGTGATGGATGAGGATGAGGAGGCTTGGGGGGACAAATGCTGATCGAATTGGTTATTAAACGACCAACCAGCGACGATGACGATAAATCTTCCCAGAAATTATTGCGATAAATGATAATATTGTTGTTTTGAGACAATATTCAACCAAAGATAATGCTTTATTAACGCCCAATCAAAGATTATTATTTTTTATTTTATTTTTTTTCCTAAAGAACATTTAACACTGAAACTGGAAACATTTCATATGTCCAAAATAAAACAATAATAATTAATATGGTTATAAAATCTCGGTAACCAAAATTGCATTGGTGTAGGCAGGGAAAACAAACTATTTTCTCCTGCGTGTCAAATGTTTGCAGCGTTTCTCAAAATGCTGGATTTTCAACACCATTAAAATGTTATCAAATCCTTAACAGCCGTTGCCCAAATGAAAATTATTGCACTCATTTTAATTTATAATGCTTATTGATTTATTGCTTATTGTGACAGGGTTAAGCATTTACTCTATTCATTATCTAATTAGCATTTAATTTTTTTTTTCAGTTTTACATCTAGAAAACTGGACAAATCTGAAAATTTCAGCCCTATTTTGACTTTTTATTCATTCTGCTCATTTTCTGTGATAATTCAGTAATTTTCTACTTTTACATCTAGAAAACAGACAAATCTGAAATGTTCAACCCCATTTTATAGCTGCAGATTTTGTTGCAAAGCTTAATGACTGTAATTTTCCAACAAAGGCCAGAAGGACCATGGAGAGAAGTGGCGTTGTGCTTTCACAAACGGCTGCAGGCCCTCGTCAACGCAGCGTCCAGCCTGGGTGTCATCAGCCGCTCCTCCAGGTGAAACGCGCTCCCCCCTTGGAGCCGTAGATTACATAATACACAGGCATCTTGGAAAACAGCTCAATATTATCGATCCACACAGAATACAGGCTCGTCTCGCAGGGCTTCATGGAAAGGTTCTGTTATCTCAGAGGGTTTTTTTTCTTCCTTTTCCTCTTCTCTTCACATCTAAAACTGAGTAAAAATTCATTTTTTGCTTTCGAATGACGACATGAAAGTGTCACGGAAAGTCACAGTGCATACGTGACTCAGAAATGGAAAAAACACCCCCCCAAAAAGAAAAAAAACCAGAGTGGAGGTGGTCGTGGTGCCGAGCTGTAAATTCCTCTGGAACCACCCTGCGAACGAGGCTTTGAGGCAGAAATGGCTCCTGCAGTCATTTAGAGCAATTGCAGCAGGGAAGCAATCAACAATTTGGAGGGTAATGTGGAGCTGAAGTCACAAATCCTAAGCAGACGCTTTTACTGCTGGGAGATGGGAAGCAGGTTGTAGTGTTTGCTTAGCGAACCGGAGGCTTCTTCTTTCTTCTCTCGATCCTTTAAAGTCGATTTCATTCGGTTCTCACAACATGAAATGTTTTATTTGTAAGGGTGGGGAAAAGGGCAAGAGCTTTCTCCAAGTGGCAGCGTACAGCAACAGCTGGGGAGGGGCAGAACTGCAGCGAGTTAAACTCACTCACCGACTCACTACTGGAAATAAGTGCTGTGAAAAATTTAATGATTTCAACATCATCAAGTCATGATGTGGGACTTATTTCTGTAAAACATCATAACGGGTATTTTAATCATTTTTCTTCAACTTTAGGCACGGTTTCCATGTAAGCAGAATTAATTAATCCAAGACTTCTTTAATGTTTGTTCTTCTACTGTCCAAAATGGTATTTGCCATTAGGTGTTGGCGATCTGGATTCTGTTTTATCACAATATCTTGCAGTGCTATTCTTATGATAACGACAAAAGTTAAAATAGGAACCATTTATTTCTTCTTTTTTACGTAATTGTATGGCCGGCTATTATAATCCTACAAACAAATACTGATCTTAAAAGACATTCCCATCTGTAATGCCCTTGTCTAGGACACAGTCGCATAAAAAAAGTTTGATTTGTATCACGAAATAGAACTTAAGT